TACAGAGGCAGGGGCGCAGCGGGGTAGCGAGCGGCCCCTTATCGGCTAATCCATTTGTCAATGGAAATTCCAGCGACTACTCGATTAGCTGATTACTCAAAATGTGGTGTCCGAGTGTGCGCACACACGCATCCCTGGAGTCTCCCGTCTGCCCGTCCGTCTGTCCACACGCACTCTGAGCGCCCGTCACCTGTCTCCATCCCCGATGCCCTTCCCCCATCCTACTCAGGAACTGCTGCCCACTGTCTCGCCAAAAGATGTGCACTCTCCCCATGCAGTGCCCTCTTGATGAACACACACACACACACACACAAACAAACAAACACTCCCCACGCAGTACCTCCTCGATGAACACACACACACACACGATGGATGCTCTCCTTGTGCAATGCCCCCCTTGATGAACACACACAGAGGATGCACGCTCTCCCCGCACAGTGCCCCCTTAGACACACACACACACACACACACACACACACAGAGGATGCACGCTCTCCCCGCGCAGTGCCCTCTTAGACACACACACCACACAGATGCACGCTCTCCCTGCACAGTGCCCCCTTAGACACACACACACACACACACACACACACACAGAGGATGCACGCTCTCCCCGCGCAGTGCCCTCTTAGACACACACACCACACAGATGAGAGAGAGACACACACACAGGATGCACGCTCTCCCTGCGCAGTGCCCCCTTAGACAGACAGACAGACAGACACACACACACACACACCCCCTCTCTCTCTTTCACTCTTTGCTTGCCGCACGCTCGGGCATTCTCAGCCACACACCCGTGAAGAGGCCAGTGCAGCACAAAGCAAGTCAGAGAAACAAAAGGTGCGCGGGACAGACGGGCGTTCGGACGGATGTCAGCAGGCTGCCCCTAGGAACGCGGGAGGGGGAAGACGCTCTCCTGTGTCTTGTCCAGGCATCGGCTGGGCCCCCAAAAGCAGACACACCCCGCGGCCGAGCTCCACTCCCTCTCCCAAAACCCAGGCTGGGCCCTCGAGCGGCCGGAGAGCCCTGGCCCAGGCAGCCCTGGATGGGCATGGACGCTGGTGCCTGGCCTCTGCTGCAATCCCCCAGGCTGTGAGCGGGACAGGCGGTGCCCTGCAGGGTCAGCGCGGCTCAGCCCCGGCCGAGAGCAGCAGACAGGGCCTGAGTTGTTAGTGCTGTTACTCCGGAGACGGACCAGCGAGCCCAGCCCAGAAAGACTGAAGCACCAGTGAATGGCACAGCCAACGTTTCTCAGCCTAGACCTCTGCTGGGCAGAGACCTGAGCCACCACGCTGGCCAAGGAAAGCCTCACCTGCCAGCCTAGAGCAAGTGCCAGCAACCTCCGGGGGGCCCGAGACATGGCCCACCCGTCCCAGTGAAGGGTTTCTCCAGGCCCAGCCTCTCCCAGCAGGAGGCGCTGTAGGGAACGGTGTGGGAGCACAGGCGGGCTGGGCG